AATATTTTGTTATTTATTAACGAAGCATCTAGAAGATTATTGGCATCGGCCTTTGTTTTATCAGAAATAATTTTTGTGTTTCCAGTTCTTCTTTTCTCTGCAGCTGCAATTGACTCAGAGTTTCTTGTTATACAATTGTATAAAATTAATCGACTGATAGGTCTGAACAAATTGTTCCAGTTCATGATAACTTTGAAATGTCTTCCCCACATGTATATCACTCTCTTCCATTTTAAGAATATTTATTAACTGAAAACAACTGTTCACTTACCTATATATAAATATTTATAAAAATTCTGAGTAGTTTTAATCAATTTATTCACTAATTGCGACAAATTCCGTATATATTTCACGTTTCATTCCCGATCCGATGGCATTTTATTATAAAACCGGATGTGGGTACGCGTAGCCTATGAATGGCAATTTGACTATTCGTACCCGCATGCGGGTACGCGCAGACACTGCCTTATGAAAAAGTGTCCTTCCACAGGACAATATTTCATAGCAGATGTTATTAAATTTGTAATGTCCTCAAAGGGAAGTAATACAAAGGTCATAAAAATGTTCTATCATACTTTAATTCTAATTAATTAAAGGATGGAAGTGAATACTACACGTACATAAGTACAAAGAAAATTCAAATACCCAGAAAAGTTCGATGTAAATGTTAGGCGAACACTTCGAATAAAATGTCAAAATTATAAAATCAAATTGGAGGAGTTATATCTTATTTGCAGAAATAAAGTATGAAATAATATCCATTGCCAATGAAAAATTTTGTCCTGCATTTTTTTTTTAGTTGTAATCTCTGTCCTGCCTTTTCATTTTTCACTCTATCCGGTCCTGGTTTTTTTTTTATTAGTTTATCCTGACTTTTTTTTACATAAATTGTCATTCTGCCTTTTTTTGGGGGGCCAAATTGCTCATCCTGCCTTTTATTACTCAAAACTACTGTCCTGCCTTTTTTCATAAATTTCATCCTAACTTGTGATATTAATTACAGCAGAGACATATATGCCTGTGTACTATTTTATTTGGCGGCATTTTGTCCAAGGTTATGGTTGTCTTTCTCATATTGTTTTACACCTAACCCCCTTGTTTTATTTTGTATTTACATTGTGTCATAGATCAAATTTATTCGTTCAGTGTATGTTCACTTGTTTTTGTTAATATGTCTTTTGATTGAGTTAAGCCATTTCAATTGATATTTTCAAAGTCTCTTGAGATATTCAAGTCTCAAGTGACCAAAACCTCAAACTAAATCAACAGAACAATTTGTTTTAACAGTCCTGTTTTTAATCATGCGCAACTTGCCAGAATATTTATCATGTTGAATGTGGGCAGTATTTGGATTAAGAAGAGGAAGAGGCACTCCTTCATCATTCTTCATTTTCTCTCTCGCTCAAATGTCCTATGCTTATTTTTATTTCCGTTCAAATGCCCTAAAATTTTGGCGCTCAAATTTCCTATACTTTGGAGTTCAAACGTCTTTTTTATCTCTCAAATGTCCTGCAATTTCGCTCAAATTTCCATTGCCGAGGGAGACATGGATTGTCATTCTACGGACTGGTACCTTGTGAACTAGCACGTAAAAAGTCTAGCTGGCTCAGCGTGTCGGTCTAGTAAAAAGCAGGGTTAATATTAGTCCAAATAATTATGACGTCTTGAAAGGCTATTTTAATTTTTTTCTGTGACTCCTTCCTACGTAGGAACAGGAAGGCGTCGACACAGAAAAATTAAAATAGCCTTTCAAGACGTCATAATTATTTGGACTAGGTTAATATTAAATTAACATGTTCTCGTCCTGATAATGCATTTAATTTGCCGCTGCACGTTAAACATCTATCCATTATCAGCATCATCGATCATCATCAGACATGACGTATTGATAATTTGATTAGATAACCAAAAAGAAATACACAATCTTAAAAAGCATGGAATATCAGTATGGGCAATTAGCCGTTTTGTATTTCCTAAAATGACGTATTGATACTTTTATTTTAGAACACATATACCTGAAATACGGAGATTTCGTGATGTTGAAACACTGATTGGTATTATATTGAGGTGATGGCCTGACTCTTACACATGTTACAGTCATATAGATAAAGTTATTACCAAAGACTGAAGAAGTTTATGGTTATGGCTCAAATGCATATCCTCTGTGGATTATGTTCTATTTGACTAATAATTGAAGTTTTTAATCCACAATTAATTTATGTATAATTCAACAGGATGTGAATAAAATTAGATATATCTGGGTATAATGTTAAACAACGTGACTAATTAGGAAAACATTAACTGAATCTGCTGCCTGTCATACAGGTATGAGAAGGGAATGTTTCGGGAACATTTCAACAGATTTATACATTATGCAATTAATTATTTTCTCTAGAATACATTGTATATATACTGAAAAATAAACCGTATACACCGATGTAAATTTATCTTGTACTGGTAATGTTTCAAAACCTTATAAATTTCTTCTTTTGCCATGCTTGTGCAATTAAAAACTTGTACGTTTTGCTAGAGTATGATCGAATGAAGCTGAGAATCCAAGTAGTATTACGTGCCATTAACACAAAAGCTACTTATAAAGGTCCTAGACTTTTAAACATTTTCAGGAAATTTTTCAGTGGTATTCAGATCATCGGAAGTAAGTTTCCAATAACTGAATTAGTTAGTATCACGCACATAGCCCATGGTATTGATACCGTTTTACAGTGGTCCTCTGTTCATAGGAAGAAAGTTTCATTTTAACTGAATAAGTTAGCATGTAACCGGAGAGCATGATTCTACATACAAAATCACTTTGTCTTCTCCGGGACCTCTGTGTTACAAGGCAGCACTCTAACTGACTGATCCGTAAAGAAGTTCTTCCTTATCTACTACATGTACTAAGGGAAGCTATCATGTCACAAGCATATATATAGCACTCCTGTAGCCCATGGTTACAATGGTTGGCATATCATTGGAAAAAAGTTTCATTTTAATTTAATTACTTAGCATATCACGCCTGTAGCCCATAGTTACAGTGGTCGTCAGATCATCGGAAGAAAGTTTCATTTAACTAAAATAGTTAGTATATTACGCCTGTATAGCTAGCCCATAGTTACAGTGGTCGTCAGATCATCGGAAGAAAGTTTCATTTAACTAAAATAGTTAGTATATTACGCCTGTATAGCTAGCCCATAGTTACAGTGGTCGTCAGATCATCGGAAGCAAGTTACATTTTCACTGAACTAGTTAGTATATCACGCCTGTAGCCCATGGTTAATGTGGTCTTCAGATCATCGGAAGAAAGTTTCATTTTAACCGAATTAGAAAGTATATCAAGCATGTATCCCATGGTACTGAAATATGTGAGGATTTCCCGAGTTTAAATATATCGTATATATCTGTAAATTGAAATTGCCTTTAAAAAAATTAAATTAAACGATATTTCTCATTCTGCCTTCCTATCTTAATGTCGCAAAGAGATCTTAAAACATCGAAAACGATATATTTGATCGATTTTAAATACTAATTTACTTCTTCTCACAAATACTACTGAACTGAACTTGATGACGAGACTTCATTAAACCTGTTAGAAGTGTTGTTTCTGATTATTCCATTTCTTGAGCGACGATATATACAACCAACAGCAGTTTATGATTTAAGAAATAATTCATGGGGGCTTGAATATATCGTGATTTTACCACGGGTTGGCCCTTTATGACAAATATTTTACCCTGAGCGATAGCGAGGGATAAAATATCGGCATAAAGGGACAACCCATGGTAAAATCACGATATATTCAAGCCCCCATGAATTATTTCGATTCTAATAGGACAAATACGGCAATTCTTTTAGATCGAAGCGCTCTAGGTAAAGGCATTATTTGCCGTTCCCATAAATAAACGCACTATTAAATTGACGTAAAAGAACGGAAACAAACTGAATAAATGCCATGCTTAAACTATTTACAATGACATATTTAGATCGGTTTGGATGAATCTAAATGATAATTGTATTTATATGTCTTATATGTAAACAAAAAATAGCTTATTTAACACATTATAGCATCGTTTGTTTACGTTTCCTTGTTGTGATGATTTTCGGTTTCACAAGCGTGTATTTTCCCGTAAAATGCTTATATTCTTACGTCATCGTTCGTCGGGTAGCTCATTCATAAAAAAGCATATGACGCGGGAGTACGATCGGAACAGCCCAAACAATATATTCATATTTTACCACGGGTGTGTACTCAAAGCGTTTGAAGAACGTCATGTTAGAATCATTACTTTTCCCTAAGTACAACAAATCTCGAGTGAGAAAAAATTAAGAATACATTGATCTTATCTGATTATTACATGGTTGGTAAACCTTAAATGACCTGTACCAAGTTAAGATAACATGTCCGGTAATTAAGGAGCTTGTAATGATATAATAAGGACTCGCTGTATGAATGAAAACAAGGATATCAACAAAGTGAATTGACACATTTATGAAATGAATATTGAAATAATCCTATATTGCATTTGGAAAATCATCTCAGCTAATTTTGAAAATATTAAGCTGTTTGTCCATTATCCGTTCTTGCTTGTCCGTACACCTGCCTAGTTATTTTAATCTCCCTTCTTGGTTTTTTTTTCTGTACGCCCGCCAAGTAGTTTGTTATCTCTCTTTCAAGTCCGTATACCTGCCAAGTTTGTTTTTTTTTATCTCCGTCCTTATTTGTCCATACAACTGAGAAGCTGTTGTTTCTTATCTCCCTTCCTGATTGTTCGTACATCTGCCTGGTTGTTTCTTGTGTTTTTTTCTTGTTTATCACACACCTGCCAAGTTTTTTCTTATCTCGGAGTCCATTCTTGGTTACTCGTACACCTGCCTGGTTGTTTCATATCTCCCTTCTTGTTTGGTCGTACACCTGCCTTGTTATTTCTTATCTCCCTTCTAGTTTGTCAGTACAACAGTTATTTGTTTCTTTTCTCCCTTCTTGTTTGTCAGTTCTCATGCCTTGTTTGTTTCTTTTCTCCCTTTATGTGTGTCCGTACCCATACCTTGTTGTTTCTTTTCCTTCTTGTTTGTACGTAAATATGGCAAGTGGTTTCTTATCTCTCTTTATTTTTGTCTGTACAACTGCTTTTGTTTTTTTCTTTCTCCTTCGTTGTTTGTCCTTTGCTCTTTCTGTTGTCTCTTATCTCCAGTCCTTGTTTGTCCGTACATTTACCAAGCTTCTTGTTTGTCCGTAAACTTGTTGTATCTTATCTCCCTTCTTCTTGGTCGAACCCTTGCATAGTGTTTCGTATTCCCCTTCTGGTTTGTAAGTACACATACCTTTTTATTTCTTATCTCCCTTATTGTTTGTCCGTATATTTGCCTAGTTGTTTGTTTATTCCCCTACTTGTATGTCCTTACACCTGCCTTGTTGTTTCTGTTCTCCTTTATTGTTTGTCTGAAAACCCGCCTTGTTGTTTCTGATCTCCTTTATTGTTTGCCTGAAAACCCGCCTTGTTGTTTCTTATTTTCTTAATCATTTGTCTGACAATTCGCCTTGTTGTTTCTTATCCACTTTTTTCATTGTCTGAACACCTGCCTTGTTGTTTCTTATCTCCCTTATTGTTTGTCTGTACATCTGCCTTGTTGTTTCTTATCTCCCTTATTGTTTGTCTGTACACCTGCCTTGTTGTTTCTTATCTCCCTTATTGTTTGTCTGTACACCTGCCTTGTTATTTCCTATCTCCCTTATTGTTTGTCTGTACATCTGCCTTGTTGTTTCTTGTCTCCCTTATTGTTTGTCTGTACACATGCCTTGTTGTTTCTTATCTCCCTTATTGTTTGTCTGTATACCTGCCTTGTTGTTTCTTATCTCCCTTATTGTTTGTCTGTACACCTGCCTTGTTGTTTCTTATCTCCCTTATTGTTTGTCTGTACATCTGCCTTGTTGTTTATTATCTCCCTTATTGTTTGTCTGTACACCTGCCTTGTTGTTTCTTATCTCCCTTATTGTTTGTCTGTACACCTGCCTTGTTGTTTCTTGTCTCCCTTATTGTTTGTCTGTACACCTGCCTTGTTGTTTCTTATCTCCCTTATTATTTGTCTGTACATCTGCCTTGTTGTTTCGTATCGCCCTTATTGTTTGTCTGTACACCTGCCTTGTTGTTTCTTATCTCCCTTATTGTTTGTCTGTACACCTGCCTTGTTGTTTCGTATCTCCCTTATTGTTTGTCTGTACACCTGCCTTGTTGTTTCGTATCTCCCGTATTGTTTGTCTGTACACCTGCCTTGTTGTTTCTTATCTCCCTTATTGTTTGTCTGTACACTTGCCTTGTTGTTTCTTATCTCCCTTATTGTTTGTCTGTACAGCCTGCCTTGTTATTTCTTGTCTCCCTTATTGTTTGTCTGTACACCTGCCTTGTTGTTTCTTATCTCCCTTATTGTTTGTCTGTACACCTGCCTTGTTGTTTCTTGTCTCCCTTATTGTTTGTCTGTACATCTGCCTTGTTGTTTCTTATCTCCCTTATTGTTTGCCTGTACATCTGCCTTGTTGTTTCTTATTTCCCTTATTGTTTGTCTGTACACCTGCCTTGTTGTTTCTTATCTTCTTTTAATAATGGTTTGTCTGAAAACTCGCCTTGTTGTTTCTTATCCTCTTTCTTGTTTGTCTGAACACTCGTCTTGTTGTTCTTTATCCTTTATTGTTTGTCTGTACACCTGCCTTGTAATTTATTGTATCCTTTATTGTTTGTCTGTACACCTGCCTTGTAATTTCTTATCTCCCTTATTGAATGTCTGTACACCTGTCTTGTTGTTTCTTATTACCTTTATTGCTTGTTTGTGCACCTGTCTTGTCTCTTATCTCTCTTATTATTTGTATATACACATACCTTGTAATTTCATAACTCCCTACTTCGTTGTTTTTACAACTGCCTTGTTGTTTCTTATTTTCCCGTCTTGTTTGACTGTATACCTGTCTTGTTTTAACTTATCTTTCTTATTGTTTGTTCGTACACAATATTTTTATTTTCTTAACTACCTCCCGACTTGATTGTTTGTGCACCTGCCTTGTTGTTTCTTGTCTCCCTTCTTGGTCGTCTGTACACCTGCCTTGTTTTTTTTTTCTTATTTGTAATTTCATTACTCCCTTCTTGGTTGTCTATACCTGTCTTGTTATTTCTTATCTCCCTTCTTGATTGTCTGTACACCTGCCTTGTTGTAACTTATCTCTCTTATTATTTATTCGTACACATACCTTGTAATTTCATAACTCCCTTCTTAATTGTCTGTATACATGTCTCGTTGTTTCTTATCTCCCTTCTTGATTGTCTGTACACCTGCCTTGTTGTAACTTATCTCACTTATTGTTTATTCGTACACGTACCTTGTAATTTCACAACTCCCTTCTTGGTTGTCTGTATACCTGTCGTATTTGTTTCTTATCTCCCGTCTTGATTGTCTGTACACCTGCCTTGTTGTAACTTATCTCTCTTATTATTTATTCGTACACGTACCTTGTAATTTCACAACTCCCTTCTTGATTGTCTGTACAACTGCCTTGTTATTTCGTATCTCCCTTATTGTTTGTCTGTACATCTGTCTTGTTGTTTCTTATCTCCCTAATTGTTTGTCTGTACACCTGCCTTGTTATTTCTTATCTCCCTTATTGTTTGTCTGTACATCTGCCTTGTTATTTCTTATCTCCCTTATTGTTTGTCTGTACATCTGCCTTGTTGTTTCTTGTCTCCCTTATTGTTTGTCTGTACACCTGCCTTGTTGTTTCTTGTCTCCCTTATTGCTTGTCTGTACACCTGCCTTGTTGTTTCTTGTCTCCCTTATTGTTTGTCTGTTCACCTGCCTTGTTATTTATGATTTTCTTTAAAACACAGTTGGTTTCGTGTGTTCTACCTTCGAATTATAATTTGAAAAAAAATTTTAAAATAAATTTTAAAAGCTCTATATTTTTTACTTACCTATAAATCTAAAAAAAAAGAAAATAATATTTAACGTTTCAGTGCAAAACACACACAGTGGGAAATCTAGTGACAAAATATTACCTCCCCTGTAAATACTGAAAACCTGGTCTTTTCAATGTATGTCCTGTTTTAGCAAGGGCGCTTTCAATTATAAATTCACAAGGAAACGTTCTGGTAAATATCAAACATAAAAATCAGTTGAAATAAAAACAAAATTTCCATTTAATGTTATCATTTCTCTTCTCAAATAGCAAACGACAAGTACAGCAGACTATAGGAGCCTGGTAAAACAATTGGTTTAAAATGTTGCTATGAAAATTAATTCCTGAAGTACTGACTTCAATTTATTTTTCTTCTGACTGTATACCTCTCTTGAAGATGCCAATAATCCGTATATTTATGTAGCTAGTTCAGAGAAGTTCAGGGGAAAATTCCAACGGAATCGATTGATATGCAACAAAGATTAACACTTTTGAAATTAAGTTACTTAGCAAATTCAAACGGACCTTATCCCGATGTAAACATTTAATTGAAGAGATCGAGAAGATCGCAAATCAAAAACATGTTCAAATATCCATTGTTACTTAGGGACGGGACAATTTTTTTTTAGCCCTCCCCCTTTTTTCCAAAATCCGTGTTTTTTTGTTTTTTTTCAATTATTTCAGTTATATAATATATACCGATGTGAATAGTTAACTTGGAAATGATAGTAAATAGCAAATACAAGTGATTTCTAGTATATTTAGGTTATATAATACAGAATAACGCGAAAATAATTGATAATAACAAAAAATCACGTATTTTGGAAAAAAGGGTGAGGGCAAAAAAAAATTGTCCTGTCCCCAAGTACCTATGCAGAAATCGAGACGACCTTTTCTTAAAAGTTTAAAAAATAGTAAAAATATTTTAACGGATAACCTACTTTATAAAAATATTTATCTTTAATTTTTAACCTGCACATACAGAATTTTAAATTGTTATTTTCACGAAAAGACAATATTTCTATATTCACTTAACAAGAGCCGGCCGGTATACTCGAAAAATTAGATGTAAAATATAGGTATATTTTGGGAAATTTTAACATGCTATGGATTGTATGGAACACCCCGAAAGTTGGTAACCTGAAAGATCTTTAGATTTTGTATGAACATGATTCTTTCCATTTTTTTTTTTATCAATATGCTATTGCAACAAAACTTAAAAGTAGATTTAAAGGTAATGCAGATATATATATATAATTAACAAAATTAAAGAGTTTCTTCTTCTCCCTGCATCCGTATTAGCTTCCTTTATAAGGAACATGCACTAAGGATAATCATGCATTCGAGATGCGAAGATTTCTTATAGGATAACACCAGTAGGAATTCTGTAATACGTAGATAACTTCTTGTTCAAATTCAAGCCTTGAAAATTGTTATAATAATTATGGAAGTATACAATGACATACAATTAAATTATTTGAAATTATATGAGTATGAATGTCAACAAGTCCTAGCATTCTGCATTGAACCCATGTTTTATACATATTGTTTATCATGTTTATAAAAGGTTTCTTTTTGCTTAAATATTAAGCCTTGGTTATACCCATTTGAACTAAAAACTCACGAATGCCTTTCTCCATGTCCTTTTTCGATTGTTTGTTATTTTTTGCGGGAATATTAAGAGAATTACAGTTCTCAACAATAGATGGAAGGCCTACAGATTTCAATTTCCTTGATCCGTGATAAGTTGGATAAAGTAGAGATTCCAGTTGTTTGAATCTGGAATCTTTCGACACAGCTGGCAGACATTTCCCTGGTTGTATATTTGTCGATTTCATTTGTGACCATGGAATAAGAGATGAGGTAGGTAAACTCTTAGACCTTTCTCTGTGCAGACCAGGGAATCTTTCAAATGTTGGCTCCCTACTTCTTTGGTAAGATTCATGAGCACTAAGGCGAGGGGAACTAGTTGTTAGAACACTGTCGAATTTAACAGTTTTGATATATGTTCCTTGTGAATTTGGTTTATCGTCTATTGGAGGCAATGTTAGCCACTGAAAGTCCACTCCACCACTCTTTTCTTTGTCTTTATCAAGCAAAGCAACACGCGTTTTCGATAATATCCCCTTTTCACTATTCTTTGGTACGTAACCGTGTGTCACGGATATTCCCTCAGATGAATCATCGAAACTGACATCTCGCTCGCCGACGCTCCAACCTCTGTTAAGAGCTTCATGGACAAGTGCTCGTCTCAGTTCATCAGATTTATTCATTTGTTTATCCAAAAATATTTTTTTGTTGTAGGCATGCTTTGAATTGTATTCGTGTCTTTGGCGAGCCAGTTCGTACAACAAATTGTTTAACCTCCTCTCCTCCACAACCACTCCAGGAACACCTCCAAGAGTAATAGAACTTGCCTTCTTCTTCTCATAAAGCTGATCGCCAAGAATCCATTCATCATATTCGCGCTTCAATTTCTTTCTTCTAAGTTGTGATTTCTCTGACTTAGTTTTCGGTTTTGGAACATATGGATGGAATTCCATTTCATATATAGCAAATTAAATGTAGTTACAAACATATATTTCCTTTGAATCACCAAGTGAATAATATACAGTCACCCCAAAACCAATATTTCTGACAATATATGTAGGCACTTAATCAATTATTCAACATTAAAATTAATGAAAGATGTCGAACTGATAACTTTGTTAGTTACCAATTAACAATGACTTGTTAAAATATAATGACAATTTAAAATTTTAAATAACACACAAAAGACAGGTAGGCGAAATACGGCATATTTGTGTCAGCAATTATTTATTTTTGGTTGACCTTTTATTGTTTCGTAGATTGAATGCATGAACATCGATATTTTATACATGTACACGGGATCCATCGAACACTGACTGCCATAAATGTAACCGTGATATCATAACGGTGTGGACCTTTGGATAGTTTAAAAGTCATGGATTCTATACTGGATACCATATTAGTGTATTAAAAAAAGACAGTTAGCACAATCTGATTAAAATGCATATCTATCGTAACTCACTTCTGAGACTTCTATAACACTAGTAATCTCAGTTCACTTACTCGGCAAAGTATGAGCATAACGGAATAAAAGATCTATATTTTATTAATAATTAGACTGTTATCTTATATTCTGTTTTTTTAATTATTTAAAGAAACCATACCCTTATGTCGATTTTTTGTTCTATATGTTTACTACTCAAAGACAGTTTTGCAACACTTCCATTGAGAGTAGTTGGGGGACAAACTTTGAGGGCTCATATCTTTGAAGAAAATGATGGTGTTGATTAAAGAAGAAAACTAAATATAAAAATTATAAAAAAATTAAATCTCATTTCTTTTGCGAGGGAAATGTTATACTATGAGATTCGCCACTTCGTCATTTTTGTGCGTTGTATATTTTTTTAACTAGACAATGTGCAAAAAAAATGTTAAAATTGTGATTTTCGATTTTGACCCCTTACCTCAAAGTTTGCGAACAATGCAGCTGTCTGAAATTTGACCAACACAACTGTAGTACTTTTGAATAAACAAATGATTGAAGATTAAGAAAACACAGATTTAAGTATGATATATCGAGATTTTGTTTTGCTTTATTTTCTGTCAGAAGTTGAACTTTTTTTTAATAGTACATGTACCCTCCATATCCTGTTGTTTTTAATTCGGGGCAGTTCAACTGGATGATAAGCTGATTAAAGTTTAATCAGCTTATCATCCAGGTCAGTTAATAACTTCTAGTACAATAATTTATACTATGTTTTGCCACTCTATAATGTCCATTTCAGTGAATAACTTCTGGTTTTGATTCATAAAGACTTATCACTATAATTGATTGGTTGATTTGTGCTTGCTGAACGTCCAGTAGCAAATGTTTCATGCATATCATTTTGACAATTCACTGAGGACCGGCCGACTAAAATATCTAAAAAAAAAAGGTCAATTAAGACTGAATAAAAAATCACGAGAAATAGAAAAACTAAAGAATAAAATGATGTTTATTCAGTCTGTGAGATTGTTTGTCTCTGATTATTGAAAATCATACAGTAACTCTGCCGGCTCCAATCACTAATTTAATACAGTGTCAATGATACTAATTCTTGAGAGGGAGGTAGAAAAAATATACCAGAATTGATAGAACAAAAATGGCATCAATATAGACTAGTTAGATCTGAGACTACTATACCACTGTAGTCTCAGGAGGTGACAAGGGGTATTTCGCATGATTTCCAGTTTTCAGTTTCGGGGGGAGGGTAAGTTTTTTCCCGACTTGCCACTTTTTTCTAAGTCTATTCCCAGATCACAGTTTTGTATCCCCTATATCCCCACACCCCACCTTTTTGTAATCCCGTATATCCCACATAACCAACTCAGTATTTTACCCCAGAAGCGTGTCATCTCCTCTCTCTGGTTAGAGTAAAATAGTTCCGGATACACTAACGTTTGTGCTGCGACATTAGTTTGATATACTATGCATTATCGTTTACTTCCGTTGTTAACGAACAGACCAGTAAGGGGAAAGAACTCATTAATCTAACGCAAACATGGCGGCTATCCGGGGAAAATCAAGTTTTGTGTTTACAAAAAGGTTGGTTATGTAGATCGTATGAAGAAGAATGACTTGTTACTTTGCCATAATTTATTTAAGATCATGATCTTTCGGTTTATCTATATGCCTATTATAATCACACGGTGCAAATATGTTAAATCTGATAGCAAAAAAGTTGTGCTATTGAAAAATGTTAAAATTGAAATCCCAAGATAATGGGGATTTCAACTTTTTCAATTTTCTGGCGTATAAAAGATATACTTTCATATTTTTTAAGTTATAACTTAAAATATTATTGATATATTATTGTTACTTGATATTATATGTTGAAAAAGTAAGATCGGTAAACAAAAAAACGAGTTTTCAGTTGCACATGTTGCATGTTGTTATTTTATTGATATGCTAATGAAACACAACGTCAATAATTGTTTACCACCCAGTACATTTCCAACTCTAGAAAAAGTCCCTATTTCTGAAAAGGATGTTCAGAAGCAAAAGTGATTTGCAATTTACAACCATAATGCAATAATTAGTGATTAACATGCATGATGTACAAAACAATATACATGTTCAGCTTGGATGTTGAGTTATGCGGTGTGTCTGGTAGTTATCTGAAGGTATAATCCATAGCCAAGGTCAGCTGCCTTGGCTATCATATATGTGTCCATCTGATCATCTATCCCAAATTTATATGTACATGTAGGGCCTAGATGTCATTTAGTCATGTCGTATGGTTGCTGTCTCAGCATACATAGATATATACCCTGGCAGTATCTTTTTTATTCACATTACCACAATAGAAAAGCTCATATATTACATGTATATATATAGCAAAATTGCAATTAATTATTTAATAGAAATACATATTGTACATTCCTCTTCTTAGACAGTCTCACTGAGTCTGCGCCAAAATCTTTTCCAACTACTAGTCCTGTCACGTAACAGAAGTTCCTTCAGAATATAAGTTCCAAATGGAAACAATATTTCCATCTCTGTGAAATGTCTGATACCTTAAGCCGCTCATGTCTTCCTGTAGAATGTTTACAGTAGAAATGGCATGTTAAAAAGCTGACTAAGTGCGCCTGTCTAGCACAAAGCAGTGTTCATACTCACATTACATAACATGTAAAGTTTGCCATTGAATTTTACAGGGTTGGCAAATTATTATAAACCTGATTTTCTAAGGTTAGGCAATACCCCCAGAAGTTGGTATTAAATGCATGTTGTACTGCATGTACTGAGTAATGTGGTTATTGTTTTCTTGACCCATGCTGGATGGGGGATATAGAATATTTTGTAGAAGTACCTTGCGTCCATCTGATGGTAGGTATACATTGTACATTTTTTGGTGTCAGAAGTTATTAAAATCATTATAAAAGGTTAATACATTGTACCAGCAAGGTCCTGGAACTGTGCAGTCAAATTGTTTTTACAGGAGTTATGCTGCTTGTTAATAGATATTATAGGGAAAATTACATTGTTAGGGATTTTTTGACTACATTTTGTAAGATATTTAATACTTAGAAGTATATAAGAACCCAACAAATTTTTCTTAAGTAATATATAATTGTCCTTGGACAGATAAAATATGTGCCACATTGGAAACTATCTGTCAATATTGTCATGTTTTATTTAATTTTAATTTTACACAGAACAGTTCAAACATATTGTAGTTTCATAATACCATTGCCATATATAAACATTTTACACAGAAAAACCTTGAGTTATTTTAAGAGGAGAAAAAAAATCAATTTCTTCAATTTCTCAAACAATTTCATATACTAAATGCACAGAACAAGTATTGTATAAAATAAGGATATATGTGGTATGATTGCCAATGAGACAACTATCCAATAGAGTTTAAATGACAGGATTAAAGCAACTATAAGTCAACAAATGGTCTTCAATAATGAGTAAAACCCATACCTTATGCAAGACCCTGACATAACAGAATGGATCAAAGAACATTATTTGAACAAAAAACTTTTTTTTCCAGTTCAAAGAATATTACTGGTATTGTAATATTTCAATTTTTTTTTTATTTACAGATTGTTTGTTCACTGTTGGTCACTTAATGTAAGTGGGAAAAACTGATTGGATAAAGATATTAAACAGTCTTTATAGTACAGGTGAAATAGGTGAGTTTTCACAGTAGTAAATGTGTTTGTTCTTTTTGAATAGGGGACATTTCAATAGTAAAATTAAATCGGTATTAATATTTTGCATTGTAATTGGCCACTGTACCATTTGTAGTTAAATTAAAATAAAGTTGTTATGTTTTGATTTTGATAAAACAGTTTACCTTTTACTGCTATAAAATGTTTTATTCTCTATTTCATCTCTTAATTTCAATTTTTGCAGGAGACTCATCTGCTTGTGGAGTTACATACAGATGCTGTTTTGAATCATAAGAAATGACTGATATTAATTTATTTCTTCAGTTCCTCATTAGCTTCTTCACAAGGAATAAATTGTGTAAGGAGTTCTATATTCCTATTTAAAGACCTAACTTTTTTTTCCATTTGAGTGTATGAAAGCAAATTAATTGAATTCATTCTGAATACTGAGCTTATATAGTTTTATGTACATGTATATGTGACTTTATCTTTATTTGACTTTTTATTTATAAGTTATCTAAACATTAATAATTTTATTCTTTGTATGAGAAGCTATAAACAATCAACTATATATTTTTTTCTCGCCTGCGATGAAAGTCCGGGAAAGTGAGACATAAGGGTTCCTTTTCTGGCGATGATGGCTCTGGCATCAACAATTGTTAAGTTTGCTGCTTAAGTTAGTAAGTTTGACAGGTATTACTTGTGATAGATCATTGATATTTAATATAAAGTTGTATTACTATCAGTACATATCAGTTTGACAATTATTTTGAGGCCCTGTTTCTAGGATATGGTGCAGTGACTTGGATTTAGAGATTTTCAATATTAATAGAAAAACAAAGGATATGGAGTATCCATCCATGACACAAAATCAGTAAATGCACAACAAAAAAGCAAAGGAACAGTGCTTTTATTGCTGTTCTTCATCCCAAAGTCACAGTGAGACCTCAACTCTGAGCAAAAAAACTCTCACTTCACTGCAAGTCTAAGACAGCCCCTAGCACCGGCTTTAGCGGAATTCTTTGCAAGAATAATTTGGATAGACTTTGTAAGATGTAACACCACTCAATCTGGCTAAGTCCAAAAGGAACATACTGGAAAGTAGTACATATTTAAAACAAAAAAGTTTACTGCTTAAGTTAGTTTGATAGGATCTAATTCTGACACATACATTACAATATATCCAAAAATAAAGTAATTGTCTGATACAGAAGTTTTATATGTTTTAAAGAATAATGCTGTTTTTGCCTTCTTTGTTTTTATTCCCTTTGAAAATATATCATTTTGTCCAACAAATTTTTAAAAAATCTGCATCAAGGCTTTGTAATATTGCAAATATTTGACACCTGATAACAATTTAGACTGTTGGAATCATCATTGGCATCATAATGATATCAAGTTTGACCTGACATGAGGAAGGCAAGTGTCATAAACTTATGAAACAATAAAATTGAGAATGGAAATGGGGAATATGTCAAAGAGACAACAACACGACCAAAGAGCAGACAACAACCGAAAGCCACCTATGAAACAAGTTTGTTTTGGATCAAGAAAATACTCAAATTAATACAATAAACAATGTATACATTGACATATACACACATTAAAAATAGATGAGTTATGAGAGAATCCTTTTTTATAAGCTAATCTGGCAAAAGTGACTAATTGTGTCTTCATACTCAGTTCATTGTTAGTCGTCTGTAAACCTTTTAGCTCACATCCCCATAAAGCCACTGAACTACTGTATAAACTTACTTGTTGTCCATTGTAAACTTTTTACCAAACTTGAGGTGAATGGTTCTTATGGTGTCTAGTATAAACTTTGTTGATTTTTATTCTGGTCAGTCTGTACACAGCAAACACTTTTGGATGAGTCTTTAAGGAATTATTACCATTAAATAGTGATTTAATCAATTTTTGCATTTTGGGCAAATTCAATAGTAGTTTAAAAGAGAAACTGTAACCAGCCAAAATGATCAGCAATATGCATGATTTACAAATAAGATATGCGTGCTGAATTAGAATCGGGTCTATAATGTAAGAGAGTGGCCATTTTTGAAGATGCAAATAGATCCAAGTGAGTGACACAGACTATTGTCTAGTTAAAAGAGCTTCCCTGAAACTACTGAACCAATTCAAACCAAAGTGACATGATCGATGGTGCTTAGTGGTGTGTAAAATATTGCTTAAATATTGTATGTCAATAAAAGACGAGTTGAAACAAAAAAAGATCAGCAGTTTAGGCGCATTGAGCCTGTAGTTTACCATTTTGCTGTGACTGATAACAGCTTCATATCAGGATCAGTGCTGAACTTATATACTTTGTTGTGTCTTTCTGACGAAGTTTTGTTTATCTTTAAAATGTCACAAAGAGTGGGTCATGAATTAAATTGACCACTGTCTCGAGTCACAGGGAGGACTGGGCACTAACAAACATTATTAACCCTGCCAGGTTCTGTATGCGTTTGTCCCATGTCATGGAGGATCAAATTGAGAATGGAAGCGGGGAATGTGTTAAAAGAGACAACAACCCGACCAAAGTGCAGAAAACAGCCCATAGCCACCAATGGGTCTTCAACACAGGTGCTGCTGTATTTCGATGATTGTCGTTGGTTGCTGGCTTTCATATTTTATTTTCGTTTCTGATTCTGATAGAATTTGTAAAGATTTGGGGCGGTCCAGAATTGCTTGTACGATTTAATGCTAAACAATGCTATATTATCCAATTAAAGGGGGCGTACGCATTCTACGCCCTCCCCCTTAATCCATACATAATTGGATTGAGGTCAGGGGATGGGTAGACAAGTGGACCCGCCCACCCTTATGGGAATACATGTCTATTGCATATAGACTGTATGCCCCACTCCTGATGTTTTTTAGTGGTTCCCCCTTTTTTAAATTCTGGATCAGCAACGGATATGGTATATGAAACATTGATTGAAAATGAAAACAGGGTAAAATATGTGTAAAGCAATGCATATATATTACTCTTCAAGAGTATTTTGAAAAAACACATTGGAACTGGAGCAAATGCATGTAGGGCTGGCCTACATCTGTGGTAACATCCCTTTTCGTCATCAATACAAATAAGTAGGATTATTTATCCAATGAAAGAAAAATAAATACCTATCGGATCGCTTGCCAACCCGTGTATTAAAAAAGTAAGATATGAAATAACGTATTAAGGGAAATCATAAATTTATACAAAATATATTCATTCGTATATCTGCATATCTTAGATTGAGTTTTGTGAAAGGATTACGTACCGAAGTACCACCTACCGAGAGTTCAAATTTTTAAATTCATAATGAGAAAAAAATACAATCAGTTAAACTGACAAATTCTTTGAAAAGGGATAAACCATAAAGGTAATGAAAACCGTGTGTTAAACTTCAAACACAATACCAATATCAAAGGTTACGGCTACAGCGATTATTAAAAAGAAAAAGAAAGGGAGTCATAAAATTTAAATTGCATGAATTATAATATAATAGCCCAATCATTTATGACCTCGGAGTCAATACTTTCTATTATTGTTTTCTGATATTTTCAATGCTTATTTTACTATTTCTTATATTTTATTTTCTATATACCGTTTTTACTATCAAATGCATCCCCCCCTTCCAAAAGAAAGAAAGAAAAATGAAAATACCACCAAAAACCTTTGATAAGAAAGGATAATGCGCACGTTTCCGGACTAGTGTAACAAGAGAGAAAAAAACAACCGTACGTAAAATCATAGCTGTATTAAAAAAAACATACATCTATGGTAAAATCAAGGATTAGCAGGGGCGTAGCTACCCGGAGGCATGGCAGCACGTGCATCCACGTCGTTTTCACAAAAAAAAAAAAAAAAAAAAAAAAAAGGAAGAGAGAGAGAGAGTGAGGGACAAAGTTAACATATAGGAATTGGTCTTTCTATGTATGCATTTTAAAAACTACACAAAGAATAAAAGCAAGAGGAATACACATGCAGCGGAATTTTTAATCCTGTAAGACATGTATGTGTACGATAAATACATACAACTGGTGTAAACTTAGAGGAACTTTTTATATTACGGGCATTGTTTAGAAAATACCAGCTACATAGTTGTTGGTACCGCAACCATACCGTATACTCGCTTTGAGTGACATAATCAACATAATCCCTCTAGGGTTAACAAAAAAACTTGAAAATTATTATTTTCCGCTTCGCCCCAAAGCACACACCTTACTAGAATGAAGACTCTTCAGCTCGTAGCGATCCGGGAATAATGACTGTAACCTTGTGAACTAGTTCAATATTGACTAAGTATGTAGGTCTTGACAACACGATTAGTTCATTTTCACATCACGTCAACGTATCTCGTCCTGTGTGCATGTAATATTTGCTACCGGACATTAATAACCATTCAATCAATCAATAGTTTCCGTATACTAGTAGATGAGAAGTTGGAACTGCTGTTATTATAAAAAAAAGTACACATTTTCCAGTACATGTTTTACGTTTTTATTTATTTTACAAAAAAAAAATCTTTTATATAGATTCGATAATTCGAAGTCGTTTCTATATGGGCCGGCTATACGAATGGTTGATTGTAAAACCATTTACATAAATTGTTAATTCTAACTCGTTTTACTGGACTATTAGGTCATTCAATTTTAAAAAGAACTGTCTGTCCGAGTAGGACACTAAACTGCTGATTCTTTTTCGTAAGATTCACCAAACTTTTATTACACGTATCTTCGCTGTTATCATCTAAATATTGCCATACAACTGTTCGAATGCATATGCATTTGTTAATTAGCTGGCTAATTAAAAACGCAGATCATGAAAAAGATCGTGATCAAAGTACCATTTACTCTGAAAAAGTTCATTAATTTCAACTTCGAATATTCCTAACTACGTAAAATTCGAAATTCCCATCTCTCTCTTATAGAGTTTACCCACAAATTTTTTAAACATCTAAATACATATGTTAAGCAAAATATATGAGAATGTGTCCACCAATTATTTGGTATCCATGATGTTTTTCTAACAGAAACTCCACATATAGTATTGTGTTTATGTTTATTGTTTGTTTTTTTAAATCTACTTTGCTCAATACAAATACTAGCATATGGAACAAATCTCCGTGATTTTAAAAGCTTTCACGTACAAAAAACGCAAGCGACAATATTAAGTCTTCATTCGACTCGAAGTTAAACAAATAGTTGACAAAAAAACCACAACAAAAATGTCCAAGTTTTATTTCGGTTGTGATTGTTTTGAAACGCTATATATGCGGAGCTTCCGGGGGGCTTTGCCCCCCTGGCCCCCCTATCAGGGCTTTGCCCTGGACCTACTGATGGCCTTAGGCGGCCCCCAGACCCCTCGCCCTATAGTTTGTGATTCCACTTCATTAAGAAGGTAGCTACGCCCCTGATTAGTATAGTGAAATCAAATCCTTTGTAAAATGAAACAGTCAGTCGAATACACCGCGGACCAAGTATAAGGTGTACATGAAGTATTGCAGATTAACAACAAACTATCTGCTATTAATTCGATCACACAAAAAAAAAAAAAAAAAAACAGCAAAAAGCAGAAAAAAACAAATTAATTAATAAAAAAAAACACTGTCAGTAATGGTTGTACCAGAGACATGTATTTATATGTCTCTGGTTATACTATCTACAACAGTATTATGGAGGAACGATGTGGCGCGTGGTTGTGATTCATACGCCGCCTAGATAAACAAAACTGTGTATTGACCTTTTAGTGATAGAAAAACAGAGTTCAAATATATAAATATTCATGTTATAACTTATTGTCATACTTCCGTCAAAACTTTTAAACCAATAGCATGACACAAATTATTTTTCGAACAGCTCTGATATTTTCTCATAAATTATAGTCAAACCCAGAGAGGTTCGAACGAAATCTTCCAAGCATAGTATCATTGGTTTCCTTCCCCCTTACTTACATTCCCCTGAACAGACGACAAAAATATTTCCAGATTATAATAAACAATTAATTTCCCCATAGGCGACAATGATAGCCTTTTTCGAGATACAGACTTTAGAAAGCTGATTTTTTTAACGAAACCTTGCTAGAATTAAAGAAAAGTTATTAAGACAGTATTTTTTGGTCCAAAAAATATAGGTTCGCGTTGCTTTTCTTAGCGTAATTTGTACTTATCTCCCATGCCTATCAATTTTGCACTTAAAAATACGTGTCTCATCCTAGCGTTTAAAAGACATCTCAGTTCCGTTAGGGCTAAGGAA